AAAAAAAAACAGAACAATAGTGCACAACCCAGGCTAAATGGACTGCGGAAAATGCACAGCAACATTAGTCAATGTCCCCTTTTATTTCCTTCCTAAACCTTAGCTCTTTAGTGTAAAAAAAAAAATCAACTTCCCACAATTTAAATATCCTGTTTATAGCAGGCAGGAATTTCTAGCGGTTTGCATGAAACAGCAAACCTGGGCTGGTACTGTCTAACGCCTCGGGGCACGTTTTTTTTTTTACAGAAGCGATTACAGCTTCAGAGAAAAAAAAACAAGCCACGCAATGGCCACCAATACGATATTAAACGCATAACACGGATCGACAATAGTAACGGAGAAGAAGTAGGTTTTAAAAAGAGCAAAGTTAACAACAATAGTGAGGGCTGGGGAATAACCAAGATACTCTGCTTTTTATGGTCTTCCATCAGAAAATACCAGCCGGTGATTTCGAAAAAACAAAACAAAGATACAGAGCTGACTGGGACAAAATGTGCGCGTTGTTTAAGAAAGTTTTAATTTCGAACAAAAACGAGGTTTTCTATGGCTCATCTCCCGAATCCTTAACCCCACTTCCTTTTCCCTATCCGAGCTCGCACGCAGTGGATCCAACGCCCCAACTTCTTGCGCAACATCCGCAAACTCCCAGCATTTTTTTTCCCCCACTCAAAATCCCTGGTGACATTCATCTTTCTTGAATCACTTGCTCTGCTCCTAACCCTACTCCATCGACAAAGAGACAACGCATCTCGCTTGAGTCAACTGGGCCCAGTTTGAGCGAGCAAAAAACTCTCTTCTCTCAAAACAGCCTTCAAACCCGCCGGTGGGCTGACAGCACGCAAAGAAAGAGCAAGCACCCGAGGCAAGGGGATCTCAACATCGCCCGCTGAAGAGCCAACAAACTGCATCCTAGAGGAATATCAAAACACGGGCAGGAGGGAATCTCTTATTCCACCGATTCTGCCGAATGTGTTCGGACAACTACACGATCAAGTTGCAGCAATTACAAAGAATGCACAATGCATTATTCTTTCGTGTTCATCTCGGGTTACCCATCAGTAAAAAGCATAGCTGGGGTGGGGGTAAACTTTTTTTTTTCTCCTTAACTAGCAGCGCACATTCACCAAATTGTATAAATGTTAATATGTCTTCCAGCAAGTCAAAGTACTAGAAATACACCGTTTGCGGGGGGGACGGGGGACACAAGGTTGATCCACAGCGTGGGGTTGTGTCTGGATGTATTTTTCACAGGATGCTGCTGTCTGGCGTGGTTGAACCTCGCCTCCCCCACCCTCCGAGCCCCCCAGCTGCGCTGCGCCCACAGGAGCGGAGTTGGATCCTTTACCATCCGATACCTCGGTGTGCCTGCATGCAACAGCGCCGAAATAAAAGGGCTTCGGCGCTGTGAAGCCCCCCTACACTACCACCACCACCACCACCATCATCATCACCGCTGACGCATCCTCCTCCACCGCACGCTCAACGCCGTATTTCGCAAGCGGGCAACCATGGAAAGTGTGTCACGCCGCAAGTTTCGGCGTAGATGCCCCCCGAGCCCCCGGTGCGACCGTGGCTGCTGCGGACGCGGAAAGGGGAGCAGATTTCGGGAGCCGGGGGTTAGGCCGCGTCAAGAGCCTGGGAAGTACACTGGGAAGCCGAAGGGGGAAACGCGAGCAGCGGGGACAGGACGCCTCGGAGGGACTCCAGCACGTAAAATGCGCTCAGACCAGCTGTCATTTCAGCAGCACCGTGAGCCATTTAAAGGGTCGATCTGATCTAACAGCAGTGGAGCTCCTTCGCTCCTGGGGCAGGGGGATGGGAGAGGGTGTGTGTCTGTGTGTGAGGGTGTGTGTGCGTGTGTGTGTGTGGGGGGGGGGTCTTCTCTCACCATGAAGTCACTGCCGAAGTTATCCTCTCCTCTCTGGTCCCTGCTCCGCATGGCCTGAACCCCTTGAATGAACTTCCTTAGGACAGCAGCCTGATCCATCCTCTCCAGATCCAGACAACGGCAGCTTTCCCACGAGAAACGAGTCCGCAGAACAAAAATAGAATAAATAATAAATAATGTAAAAAAAAATCCACTGAGAATCACTTGCAAATCTTCATCGTCCCATATCTACGTTCTCCGCCCCCTAAAGAAAATAATCCAAATCGATGCGCTTTCTGGTGTATTATAAAATAAAACATGAACCACAGATCCACTTCTCCCGACCTCCTCTCTTCCACATTCACAACTAAACTCTAACAAAACTACCCCGCAGGACCGCCCAAAAGCCGCTATGAACCGTGCCCGCCCCCTCCGAAGCACGACTCTTTTCGATTGGCCCACAGCGCGGAAATATCGCCTATTGATTGGCGCATGTTGTGCGTCAGTCGAGGTGGCGACCCTGCGCTGTATTTTCTCTCCAAGGCTCTAAGTGGTTGGAGGCCACGCCAATCACCCCGTCAGGGGCTGCGCCGCGCTATTGGCTGCAGCTCCTGTCAGCCCCGTGGACAAACCCACCTGTGAGGTGACTGACTGTGGGGGGGGGGAGAGCAGAAAACCTTTCTCACGGGCTGCGGGAGGGTTGTTTTTGTGAGAGAGGGGGAAAAAAAAGGCTCAGTGGAAGACTTCAGAACGCTTTCTTTCTTCGGGCTTGTGTGTTCAGCTCCAAGTGTTGTCTGCTGAATAGCTAAGTCGCGCGGAAAAGGGGGTTTCACAGTGTTCTCAGAGCCCGACACGAAAAGGGCATAACGTTTAGAAAGGTTCAAAATAAACCCTTTCCACTTCCAAGCTCGGTCATATCGAGGTAGCTATATGAACACCAGTTGGGAAAACAAAATGAACATGCAAGTTAAGTAGATCGATTAAAAATAACATTAATTTACCATAAATCAATAAACATGCAGTACACCGTCCTGGAGACGGAGCTTTGTGCTTCGCTTGTTTGGTGTCTGCAGCTCGCCACGTGGATCAGGCTCCTGAGCCGTGACGTGACAACCCCGCCCTGTCTCCCCAGTCGGAGTCGAGCTGCGGAGCATTCCTCTCGCCCGCTTTCGCGACTTCGACGGCACGTAGTTTGATTACGAAACGGGATATCGTTCTTTGCGCTCTCCCACCGTCTCTTTGTATGATGTGAGGGCTGGCGTTTCAAAGTTTGATAAATGGGTTGATTCCTTTTTTAATATTTTGTTGCAGAACATTGTTAATAGCGATCCTGAATGAATTGCAGTGAATCCAGTGTACATTAATCCACGTAGTAACCATTGAAGGAGTTGTTGATAAAAAAAAAAGTTGTTTTGACGGCGGTTTCACAAAATCCCGATTAGCGACTTGGACTGCTTTATTTTAAATCCAGGACAGGTGATTTAGTTAATCTTGGTCATAGAAACCAGGCCTTGAGACTGTTGACACAGACTGCAATAAGAGTTACTCCTAGACTTGCTTCCTTAAATTAACATTAGATAACTGAAGAATCAATAAAAGAACATCATGCTAGGATATGTAGGTATAAGTACATAATTTAAATAAATGGATTTTCTATTAAAAGCATGTGATTTTCTACAGTTCATTACGTGTACGTTTGACGTTTGGTCACTATGGCACAGAAAAAGAATATTGCTGCCCTGGAATCAAGTCAAGGGAATGTCCTAAAAAACCTGAACCTTTTTGGTCTTAAACAGAGAAGACTATGAGATGACCTGATTAAATGATTCAAAATCCTCTCCCTTAATTCACAGTGCCTATGTAATAACAACTTAGAATGTAGCTGAAGTCTGGGTTTAACCAGGTGCTGATAAAATAGCTGTTACAACGCGCCTTCTTTATATTTCATGAGTTATGGTATTTGCCACAATAACTTTCCCAACTGTCTCCTAGATTTGTAGAACCAAGGTCATGTTTATGATAGATCATTTTAAATAACCTCATATATGAAACAGAAGCCGATGGAAATAAACATATTTAATACAACTATTGTAGAAAAAGCTCTGAACAGCACAGCTTTCATGGTATTTTACTGTTGAATTGAATTTATAATTTCAACATCTCAAACAGCATTACAAGACAGTGGTGTATTATGGACTATACTTGACTATGATTAGACACTGCTTGCACATAGTGCTTAGCTGTAGGTTTTGCTAAGGTGTTTACAGGTATAAATATATTTAGGGTTAAAGAGAACACAGGAATTCCTGTTATTTCTTAACAACATGTCTCAATCTTTAAAGATCTCAAAAGGGAGTTTATCCAAACAAAGCTTCTTTTGTGCAGTCAATGTGTGCCTCCCCGGCTATCCAAATCCTGTGACGTGAGTGGTGTTCAAATGAACTCAGGCAACATTCTTGGCCTGCAAAGGTAACACAACCACATGGGTTACTGTTCCTCCTGTATCAGCTCCTCTGAACTTACCTTCATCCATTTAGTGCAACATGTCTAATCTGTCACAGCTACATATTGTAATGCTTCGGGGTTCAGGTCGCCCCTGCCACATCAGGTCGGCCCCCCACCGTCAGGAACTCAAACCCAGGCCTCCGGCATCACTCAACAGGGACCCAGCCTCTTGAGCCAAAGGGAAATCTCCCATCAGCCCAGCGGCTGCGGTCCCTGCTACCCACAGGGAAGGGCGGTGACGTCATTTCTCTGGTAAGCCAGCTCTCGCAAGCAATGGAGGCCGTATGCGTCACAATATGTTCTAGCTAACGTCAGATTTGCTTGTAGTCCACCTCGAAAGGAAATACATTGTAGGTAGTTAGTAGCTGCGGATCGTATATTAAGAAATCCAAAATAGGGGCTTTGGGGGTTGAAATAAGCGCATGAGCTCAGATCCTTTAAATTCAATAGGTCCTCCAATCAATATCACTTGAGTGGGATTTTCTTCCTTTTACAATGAATAAGATTCGGGGTGGGGGGAGAAATGGAACAGCTTCTGAGCCGAATGATTTTCACTTCTTTCATTCATGCTAGATTATTGAACAACGTTATTGTATTCTCCGTTTTCTCCCCGTGTTTACCAAGAATATTTGGCTGCTGGATGGTTATCATGAGACAAGCCTCCCTCCAGGGAAATAAGAGATACCCAGCTCACCCCTATGCTTCATTTATCATCTTCCCCCAGGGAAAGTGTTCTCGTCTTGTGACAACCCCCTCCACTACTCAAGTGGGCTTCAGCGAAAGACAGAGGAGCACTGTCTAATGCTTGGGACAGTGTGCTAAAAAATAGATGTCTGAAGTGAGCGCATGAAAGGAGAATACAAAGCATAAATGCTGTAAGTCTCAGACCTTTATATGAAAACCTTTTAACATGTACTGTATTCTTCTTCTGGATCCTTCCAGTCTGTATTTGTAAAGTCGAAGGATCATTGGTTTCAGACCTAACAAAGAAACAGGCATCAAGAACATTTCAAAATGATACTTAATTGCGCATGTTCTCTCCTGTTCAAATGTACTAACTATGGGGCCCAAGGTAAGGACAGTATTCAGTTTCTAGAGGTGTATTCTTATTATTACAGAAGTGCAATACTTCATGTGATTCTCTGACAATTGCCAAACAAAAAAATGGTGTTTTAGAGACTTTTCTGGTCTGAGGTCTAAGCGCGCATTTGCTATATTGCAATTTTCTAGCAATCTGTAAACATGGGGAACTGTGTTAAATAGAGAAAATCCAAAAAGGGGGGGAGACCTGCTTTCTTTAACATTGCTAGAGTCTGCATAACATTCTCTCAGGGTGAATAAAATGGACTGTACATGGAAACCTAAACACCTAGCACATAAAATACCATATGCACCATATGCACATAAAATACCATGTGTGTGTGAGTCAGGTGATCATTGCATCATACTGAATCCAACATAAGTCCAGAGAATAGCTTCCAAGTGTATTCTGTGTCCTATACTGCTGCTGAAGGAATCAAACATATTCAGATTTGAACAGAGAGGAGTAGAAGGGGATCCAATCAACGGCACTGGCAAATCAACCAAGTGAAGAGCTTCAAAATGAACAGTGAAACACAATGCCAAGGACACAAGAGGAAACGATGTGAAGGGCATTTAAAGCTGAAAACAGGAGGCACTTCTTTATGCAAAAGGCTGCGGGAGTGTGGAACAGGCTACACACAGGGCCAGATTAAGGTGCATGCAGGCTACTGGCCCAAAAGACACAGGCACTGTGAGTCAATTTCTATTGGTAGATGGGTGATCAAAATGATCCTGAATATTTTTTCAGACAGTCTATTTGTGCTACATATATTCAATAACAGATCTTTGTTACAATTTGTATTGCACAAATGAAAAAAAAACATGGACAGAAGCTCGGGGTCAGACATTTATATGGCACGCCTGGAGCAGTTGGGGTTAAGGGCCTTGCTGAGGGACCTACCAGAGTAGGATTCCTCCACCAGCTGCAGGATATGAACCAGCAACCTTCCAGCCACAGGCATAGATCTTTAGCCACAGAGCCACTGCATCATCTCCCCAAGCATAACATATTTAAAAATGTACAAAGAATACATGTCCATGAATCATGCTGCATGTAAGAGGACATTGGTTCTTCTCATATTTTTAAATTGAAAAAGCAAAGCAGAAAAATACAAATTTTTTTTAGTCTGAAAGTTTTTCCTTCAGCAAAACTTTCTAATTTTCCCTCTTGCTTTACCATGCTTTCCCAATGAAAGCTTTCTTATGATTTGCACATACTTAGTTTTTGCACTGTATACCATTGTTAATTTGTTTGACAGCATGAAAGGCTCTTATTCTTACTCTTCCACATGACCCACATGTTTCTTCTGATATGAGAGTGAACAGTAGTGTTTAACAAAGTGGAATCTGTTTCATCATTACCAGGGATCGTTTTTGCTTGGCTTTCAGCTTAAGTTTCTCAGGGTTAGCTTCATGCTAGGCCAGACTGAAAAAAAGGGAAATCAGGGTGGAGATTTAAAAGCCCTGTTCTGTTTATCATGCCCATACTTGAAGTATCAAAGAAAACATGAGACACCGCTTATTATCCAGACTATCTTTGAGTACCCCCTCACCAGATACAGAACTGCTGGCGAAACCCAAACAAGCAGCTGTTATTTTGAGACTGAGAAACCGGGGTACGGCTTCCACCAGCAGTGTATTGTATAATTATGAATCACTATTCAAGATTTGTTCACAGGGCAGTTTATTATTTTTTCCAATTACATTAGCGTGTTTTGAAAGACAGCTGAAGCAAGTATTGACATTACAGAAATAATTCGCTGGTGTGGGCATGCAAAGTAATTCCTTGCTACAA